TGATAGGGGTTGGGGTAGTGATAGGGGTTGAGGTAGTGATAGGGGTTGGGGTAGTGATAGGGGTTGGGGTAGTGATTGGGGTTTGGTAGTGATAGGGGTTGGGTAGTAATAGGGGTTGGGGAAGTGATAAGAGGTTGGGCTAGGCCTGGTCCGAGCTCGGAGGGCGTAGCAGTAGCAGGATGGGCTAGGGAGAAGAAATGGGGGTTGTTTTAAGGGAAGAACAGAAGCAGGTTATAGTGAACATGATTATTTTAAATGCAGTGGGTGTTGGTTCCAGTGAAGGGGAGCAAGAAGGAAATGGAAGCGAGACTCGTCGCAGGTCGATGGAGGCACAGAGCAGTAAGAGATGAGAGAAACAAAACATGGCGGGGCTAGACCATGGAGGGATTTGAAGGCTCAGCAGTGAGAATTTTAAAAAGGCAGTGGGCGTAGACAGGGAGCCAGTGGAGTTGGGAAGGGGAAGCAGAAGTGTGGGAATTGTGGGAAAGGTGAAAAATATGGGCTGGGGAATGTTGTATTTGTTGGAGATGAGTTGAAGGCATAGGCAGGAAGTCCGAGAAGACATCCCACCTGCCTCTGTTCACGGTTAGTCGATCAGCAGATTGCGTGCAGTTTAACACGTAGGCTTTCGCGACCAGTGTTATTCATAATAAAAGTTTTTGGGTTAGATCGCGTTATTTATAAATGTGTCGCAACCCTCCACCACCAGATATGGCCAATCAGTAAAAATAATGTGTCACGTTGACAAAAAGACAAATTGTTTTAAACTTCAGCCCACCGGTGTGTTAAAGAGTGAATCCACAACATTGACAATTTGAGTAGTACGACTTTTCGCTGGTAATTACATACAGCATCATCGGACGATTTGCCAGAATAGTGAAGACATCCACCTGCTTCCGGTGTTAAATAGTGCAGGATAACGTCATAATTGTTGAACCCCATCACGTTTAGAGATCACAGGCGGAGGTGGGTGGGGGGTATTGCAATTATGTAATAGATCAGTCATCAGCCGCTTAGCATGTGACTCCTCTAGAAGTAATAACAACGTGTTGTGTATTACTTAATAATACGCTTCCAGGCTGCGCTGAGACTGTAGCTCTCACAGCGGTTGAAATAATTTGAATTCTTCTCAATTTCGTTTGATTCTCTCGCTGGTCTCGGCCAGTAATGTTATTACGAGATTGCGTGGAGCGTGGCAGGTGTGGGTACTCCCTCCTCTGCCAACACGAGCTGGACAAGCCCTTAAGTGCTCCAAGGGGATCGTCCATAAATGACGTCACGCACCTAGGGGGGAGCGGGGTCAGAAATTTGTGACGATGTGTGACACGGGGGGTTTGAGAAGTGTGACGTCACATCAAAATGCGCAACTTTAAATAAATATAGAGAACACGTTCTACTTAATTAAATCGACTTTTTAATAAATGTTTTCCGCTACAACATCAGAGTGCAGCGGCACATTAAATACGCACTACAATGACAATAGTTTAAAGCGATTTAAAGCATGTTTTTTATATATTTTTTATGGGGGGGCAGATCTTTCTGACGTCATATTTGGGGGGGGGGTCTAACTTTTTGTGACGCCGTGTGACGAGGAGGGGGGGGGGTCAAAATCGTCCAACATCGCGTGACGTCATTTATGGACGGCCCCCAAGTGGAATCCCTTCTGTCAGAAGTGGCGTGGTAATGTCTGTTGAACTTCTTTCGTACCGTACCGTAGCCCAACCGTGCTCGTTGGGGATGCGGGGAAGGACAGACAAACAGTACGGAAATTGAAGGTCCGCAACTTTTATTTGTACCTGTGCACACAACATTTTCTGCAATCATTTAAGTCTCCTGAAGTCTAACTGTCATCATCATCAGCAGCAGCAGGGCCTGGGAGGGAAACAGCTGATTCCTGTCGCTCGGCTGGACATTGCCTCCCACCCGTCTCGACTTATTTATTTATTATTTAATTATTATTTATTTATTCATTTCCCAGACTCTCCCCGCATGTTGCCGCTCACGTTGACACGTTGTGACTCGTGATGACACCTCGCCAGATCATCACCTCTATTTTGAGATTTATAATCGCCCCTCCTCCTCCTCCTCCCCATAGTGACCCTGAAACAGTGAGATCTCATCACCCAAGCGAGGTTATTATTATTATTGATATAAAAGAACACACCACATTTGTCACTGCTCAAACCCTGCCACGCAGTGGGAAATATATTGAAAACTAATTATTTGGTTACGCTGCATTGGCAATTGCTGTACAAGCACCATTGACAAGAAGAAAACTCAGACACATTCGTCAATAACACTGCCTTCAAAGGACAGACATGTCCTATGAAGAAGGACCATTTCCCAAAATGTCACCTATTCTTAGGTTTTTTCGGTAAAGTCATGTAGGTAAAAGAATTAAAATTAAAAGTAAAATAAAAATAAATACAGCAAGCGTGCTGTGATGGTTCCACCTGAAGACGGAAGCTTGTGTTGCCCCCGAAACGTCGTGATTTTTATTTTATTTTTTTATTTTATTTTACTTTTATTAATTTTAATTTTTTACCCTACGTGACTTTACCGAAAAAAACCTAAGACTTTGAATCCTCGCAGTCAAGAAAGCTTCAAATCTAGAATGTCACCTATTGTTTGTTGGCCTTCCCCCGCACCTCCGAGTTGGCACGGTTGGCCACGTACGGTGCGAAAGAAGTTCAGCCTACGTGTGTGCATATTCAGGAAAGTGAGTGGGCTTCACTGGACACGTGGCGGAGATGGCGGCGTGACGGGAGCCGCTCGTGGGCACGAGCGAGATAGATTGTGGTGGCGTTTTAGGACCACGAGGGATGGTGATGGCGTCGGGAAGATCTTCAACTATCAGTGGAGGGACCACGACGACGATAATGTTCACGGATGTGTTTTTGGTGGCGTCACATCTTCAGAATTCGACAGATGGCAAAGAGATAAAAATGAAATTAAAATTAATCAAATAAAATAATAAATTTTATTTTGTTTTATTAATTTTAATTTCATTTTTTACCTACGTGACTTTACCCGATATGAATCCTTGCAGTCACGAAAGCTTCAAATCTAGAATGGCAAAGAGAGATGACCGTGTGGGGCCGTTGATGAAACGAGAAAAATTGACCCGTCTACAAGTTTTTGTCGTGACACATGAAAAGCTTTCCATGAGCATATACCGAGTACCAATCAAACTCTTAAAACGTAACTGTTATCATAATGTCTTTTAAATTTCCACTCACTTTTGTAGAATTCTATCCACCTTCTCCATTCCGTAGACATCTCGCCAAACCGCTTTAGATTTCCCCCCAGTCTTTAGATTTTTTCACAATTTGAAGAAACAAAATATCGAATTCGATCACGCCGTGTCGCCGCGTAGGTTGGCATAGATCTCTGAAACGAATTCTCTTCCCCGACGTAGCAGCTCTCAGAGCGTGTGGCGAAGTATCGGACGGAACAACGCGCAGTGCGGCGCGAAAGGCACATCGGAGGGTGCTATCGAATTGTACTAAGCAATTAAAGACCGGCTTGCTTAAACCGATGGCAATTAAAATACACGGCATCAATTTCAGATTGCGGGACTGGGAGGTGGGCCAGGTTATTTCCATTGCTTGGCTGCTAGGAAATTCCACATGATAAGCCACTTCGTTGAGCTATCACTTGTGGCCAGGTCACTTCGGAAAAATAATAAAATAGGTCAGTAAATAAATCGTGATTTGCTTACCTTTGCTATACTTTGCACTCCTGTTGTATTTTCCACGCTTCCAATTAGCATGGTTGGTTATGTACGGTGTGAAAGAAGTTCAACATACATACATTTCTGTATTGCTTGTTGTTGTAACTTTATGACCTGCCCCTACTGGACATCTGTGAAAAGGAGCTTGAAAGGTCATCGGATTCCTCCAGAATAAATGAAGATTCGGATTCTGAAATCAACTGGGATGGGCAACTGTGGCTGAGCGTATGCTGTTTGCCACGACCTTTGATTTTTTTATCAACACCGACCGTTGATAGGGAATTTGCCAGATCGCCCTCTCGGCTGCTAAAACTCACACGCGTGGACAAGCGCTGGTGCGAGATGAAGTTTGAAACCAAAAGCGTTGATGTTTGTCGCGCATAGTAAACCAGCCCTGCAGAAGCAGGAGGTGCTATTCTTGCAAGCGCTGCCTCATGCTGCATTTAGATTTTAAAGCAGAGCCGGAGAACCATCTCCTTCCTGAGGACCGGATAGAAAAGAGGCACATAGGAGAAAAAAGTTCGTGAGCGAGAAAATTGACACAGCTGACAGCATGCAATGATGTGAACTTTGGGCTCGGAACAAGTGTATGGGTAGTCACGCAAAGTCAATGTAAGTTCATGGGTCTCTGCATACATATGTGGATACCTATGCAATGCTGCGTATCATCTAAGTGTATGCGAGTCCGTGCGTCTTTGTGTAAGTCTGTGGATATCTATGTCAGGACAGTGGGTGTGACCAGAGAATGGGCACAGACTAGGAGTACGTAGAGACAAATAAGTGGCAATCCCCCATGGCTCAGAAGAAGAAAAGGCCTCATGTGGCCACGTGAGAGTACATGACAGGCCAGATACGGCCTGCAAGTTGTGCGTTGCACACTGCTGGTGTAAAGACCATCATTGCTATATATACACACACACGTATATATATACAAACTATCTGGAGAACGCCCCTTTAACCTTTTCCCATTCCGATGACGTATGTGTACGTCAACAAAACGAAACCGGAAATAAAAATAAAATAACTTTATCGGTGCCGAGGCTCCCGCAGGGCCATGCGGGAGGGCGTGGTGGCCGAGTTTGTCGTCAGCTATTATAGATTGCGCTCGTGCCGCTACAACGGCGCTACACCTCTCTAAACATAATTAATTGCCGAGTCGCTTGCGCGTTCCCAGATTCAGCGGTGAACGGGGCCCACACCCTGCAAACTTGCAGACGTCTCGGAACGGGAAAGGGTATTAACGCCAGTTGCTCTGCTTGCTCCGCAGGCGAGGAGAGGCGAGACATGCCGATTGCGGGCGGCCATGCTGCCGGTGCCGCCGGGCTGCTCGCAGGTGCTGCTCGCGCTCGTGACGGTGGTGCTGCCCGTGCTGGAGAGCAGCGCCATGGGCTGCCCCGCGCGCTGCGATTGCTCCGCGCCTCTGCGCTCCGTCGTGTGCCACCGCCGCAAACTGGTGTCCATCCCCGAGGGCATCCCCACCGAGACGCGCCTCCTCGACCTGAGCAAGAACCGCCTGCGCGCCCTCTCGGCCGGCGACTTCGCGAGCCACGGCCAGCTGGAGGAGCTGCAGCTCAACGAGAACGTCATCGCCGGCGTCGAGCCGGGCGCCTTCGGCGGGCTGCCGCACCTGCGCGCCCTCGGCATGCGCGGCAACCGCATCAAGCTCATCCCGCCCGGCGTGTTCGCGGGGCTCGGCAACCTGACGCGTCTCGACGTGAGCGAGAACAAGATCGTGGTGCTGCTGGACTTCGCCTTCCGCGACCTCCGGCGGCTGCTCGAGCTGCGCGTCGGCGACAACGAGCTGGTGTACGTGACGCGGCACGCCTTCGCCGGCCTCGCGGCCCTCCGCGAGCTGGCGCTCGAGCGCTGCAACCTGACGTCGGTGCCCACCGAGGCGCTGGCGCAGCTGCACGGGCTCTCGTCGCTTCGACTGCGCCACCTGGGCATCGCCGCCGTCAAGCCGCACGCCTTCCAGCGCCTGCCGCGCCTCCGCTCGCTCGAGATCGACCACTGGCCCCTGCTGGAGACGCTCGGCGCCGGCAGCTTCTCGTCGCTCAACCTCACGTCGCTCTCGGTCACCAACACGAACATCACGCAGGTGCCGCGCCTCGCCCTGCAGCCGCTCGTGCACCTGCGCACGCTCGACCTGTCGTTCAACGCCATCGCCAGCGTCGAGGCGGGCGCCTTCGCGACCCTGACGCGGCTGCGCGAGCTGCGCATGGAGCGCACTGGGCCTGCTCGTCCTCGAGCCGCGTGCGCTGCAGGGCATCGAGCAGCTGGGCCTGCTCAACCTGTCCGGCAACGGCCTGCGCACGCTGGAGGAGGGCGCGCTCGAGTCGCCCGGCCTCCTGGAGGTGCTGCGGCTGGACGGCAACCCGCTGGCGTGCGACTGTCGCCTGCTCTGGGTGGTGGCGCTGAACCGGCGGGGCGGGCTGAGCTTCGACGGCAGCGAGCCGTCGTGCGACACCCCCGGAAGCCGTGAGCGGTGCCGAGTTCGCCGACCTCCCCGAGCCGCTGCCCAAGGGCTACTTGGCGTGCCGGCGGCCGCGCATCTCCCCTCGCCGGACCCAGCAGCTGACGGCCGTCGAGGGCCAGGCGGTGCACCTGACGTGCCGAGCCGATGGCGACCCGGCGCCCGACGTGGCGTGGCTGGCGCCGTGGAAGCAGCGGGTGACGGCGCGGCGGTCGACGGGCCGCCTGGCGGTGCTGCACGACGGCACGCTGCTGATCCGCCGCGCGCAGGCGTCGGACGGGGGCCCTTACGTGTGCGTGGCGAGCAACGCGGGCGGCAACGACAGCGCGCGCACGCTGCTCTCGGTGCGCGGCTTCTCGCCGCAGCCGCTCTACATCAACGAGACGGCGGCGGGCGCGGGGGCAGGCGGCGCCGCCGCGGCCGCAGCTGCCGCCTCCGCCAACAGCAACAGCAACAACAACGGGTCGGCGGGCGAGGAAGATGACGTGTGGGGCCTCGGGATGTCGCACGGAGACATCAAGACGGTGCTGGTGGCGATCGCGATCGGCTGCCTCACCTTCCTTGGCGTGGTGCTGCTCTGCCTGCTCGTCGTGTTCACGTGGAGTCGCGGGAAGGGCAAGCACAGACAGAGCGTCCACATCACGTACGTGCCCAAGAGGCAGGCGGGCAGCGCCACGCCCCAGGCCGGGGCACAGCCGCACCAGCGGATTTTTATGAAAATGTTTTAGAAGAGATGCCGGGTGGGGGGTGAGGTGGGTGGTTGGATGGGTGGGTGGGTGGCTGGGTTGGTGCAGGATGGATGCCGCTGGACTGGCCAACGACGATTTTTTTTCTCTCCCTGGATGCGGATGACATCTGTTTTTTGTGAAGAAAAAAAACCCGGATTGTTGGACTCTTTGTAGTGCGAGATTATACGGTATATATATGAGAGAATATTAAATTATTGACTCTTTTGTGTATTTAAAACAAATCTTCTGTATACAGTCCCGTATGCAGTACTTTCCTACAATAACAGAAGTTTTGAATATATTACGACTGCGCACACTTGTAAAGCACACGCTAATTCGAAATGTGTTATAAGAGTTGTCGTCAAAATAAAGTTTGAAAATCAGCGAACGCTTGCCTCGTTGTATGTCTGCCCAATTGAATTCACCTCCCCTCCCCCCCCACTCCGGCTTAATTAATTTCGAACATTAATTAAACCGAAGGCAATTGCCACTCTTAATATGGCGAGGATATTGGATCATTCTTTGCTTCAGTGGTCGTGAAATCATTACCGATTGATGCTAATTTAGGTTAATAATAACACTGATGAGAACTGATGATGTTGATGTTTCAGATGAGGATGAATGATGACCATGTTGATGATGATTTATGGTGATAAGAGCTCGGAAAAAAATACAAAAATACTTGTACGCTTTCAAGTTGGATAAAATACTTCATAGTCCAATATAAAGTGTCTTAACCGTGTCCTCATTATTTCGGCCTTTCCTTTGAATAATTGCAGCATTTTTCTGCATACATTGCCGATATATAATTAGTAACTATAGAATAATCTTGTTTTTATTCTCTTTCCTTGTCAACAATGAAGCCGCTGCTCCATTGTTAATTCTATCAGCCGTCTACGATGACTACGATGGTAATGATGAAGTGACGATCACGTTGATTGGAGTGGACAGGATATAACGTTTAAGCTATTTCCATTGCTTCAAAAATGTAATTATGAACATTATTATCACTTTGAAGATGATGATGATGATGATACAGGCAATTATGTTGCATGCAAATAATTGTGATTGTTGCGATCGAACGGTGGCTCAGCGGTTTACGCACTGCACTACGAACCCGCATGGACCGTAGTTCGATTCCGGGACACTTCTAACATCGCAGGCAAGTGACACCGGAACCTGGGTCCTGGTCTCCGTCAATTCACCAACCTACGCTGAACAACTTGGTGCGGTCTCCTCTGACAAAATCCACGAGCGGCACATCCTGCAAAGGCCTTCGTATAGCGGTGGATCGACAAAGGTTCTGTGAAGTATTGTTTTGATCCTCATTATAATTCACGATCATTGCGGCGACAGCGGCGGCGGCGGTGGCACGATGGTGATGTTGCTCAAGTGCGTGCCCGTTCTTTTTGGCAAAGGGGTTGATGATAAATTATCGATCGTATTTACACGGCGGCTGTCACGGCGGTGATGATGAAAACAATGATCGGCGAGCCTTCATCACCACTAATCGTGATCTACCGCTCTTGCCCGATTCTGACGCACGCGCACAAGTGAACGGATTTTGTGCCATTAAACGTTTTTTTGTTTTAAATAATAGCAACGATAATAATACACGCCATCGTACCGGTGAGTGAACTCATTACGTTTGTGCACAAGCTCCAAGATTAGAGGACATGGCAAGGTCAAAGTAGATTTATGAGTGTTTATGTGGCGTTTTATTGTGCGGATTAGGAAGGCAATTTTTTTTTTTAGATTCCCAGGCGAACAGTGCGGATATCTCAACCGTGCCGTATCTGGGCCGAGACTGCCCTGGTGATGTATAGTTCAATTCTGCGCAATATTGTTTTTGAGTCTTTAACAAATACCGTTCTTTGTGGAGAGATTTAAATCACAGTGACTGATAAATGAGACTCTGTTCACCGTTCGGTGCCCGTAAGCTGTTCCTAAATGAAAATGTAAAATATAGTCCCGTACAGCGGCTCATTATTTCCCTCTTCAAATATTTACCAACCACCCAGGCTTTGCGTTGTTCAGCAGAATTTACGCTGGGCAAGAGTTTAGTGCGTATTACACACCGCGATGATGTGTGGTTTGCCTGCTGTAGTGTTGAACGATTAGGTGGACTCAGAATTTGAATAATGTAACCGGGGAAAGATACGGCAGATGCCGCCGTGAATAATTCACAATCCGAGTAATGGCGGTCACTTTAGGAAAGTAGCCGCAAAGATTGCTGAAACTCTTTGGATTCGAAAATGTTGTTGAAATGAAAAGATGATTGCTGGAGGTTCGATAATTCGCAACGCAATTACCGACCCTTTTAGTTGCAGTAATGGCTTCTATCTACAATTTTTCGTTGTTTTGGAAAATAATAACAATTTACAGGCCTCTTTTGTGCTGGATGAAGGCACATCCCACGCCATATTGCTTTCTGGAGGCGGGCAGGGGACGGGGGGGGGGGCGTTTGATCATCGTACTTCACTCTCCTGGTCAGCGTGTGTGCATGAATGGGGAGGACCCAGGGTCGGTTCTGATATTACTTGCCACGAATGATCGTGATGTGGCTGCACATTTAACTCCGGTCACCAGGTCAATAGCGGTGTATGCAAGCCACCGCACCAGCACTGCCCCCCCGCCTCTCTATTGAAAATACTTTTACAATACAGTACTCTCAGTTGGTTTTCTTGTGACGCTTGTTAAACTGCTTGGATTGCCAAAGCCACAACTCAGAGTCCAAGTAGACTCCAGTCAGACATCAAGATGGGGGTATATTTCGGACAGAGTTGACCTGTTGAAGACCCATACCAGGTGCGTCTGCCCTGCTGCATCGATGACGAATATGAACCTTGGAATTGAAGCGTGTGTACACTTACACGCGTGCACCTTTTCCTGCCTATTGTATCGCACACCAATGATGTGGCACGTCTGTGCTCTGCTCACATCATTGTAGAACTCCCGGATGCGATTCTTGTCACTTCACATAGCGAGAATGAGACATGTTGATTTACATTCAGTGCAAAGGTAAAGGTGCAGCCCTTAATTGCATTGCTCATGTCACTGCTGCTGGAAGGTTCTCCACCAGAAGGAGCTTTCAATCCCTGTACAGCGTATTTTAGCCGAGTCGTCCATACTGGCCAGATGTGTTGGAGAGAAATGAGAGTAACGACGCTTTACCTCTCCACGTGCAACCTATCATCGGTTGACTTACTATAGTGTCCTCATTTACACGGCTGGGTGGACAGAGGCGAGGGGATTTTAAGAAGCTCTTCGCTCCATTGGAACCTCATTTGCCAGAAGAAAAAAAATGATAATAGTTTTTTTACCCTTTAATCTGACAACAAAACTGACACATTTTTTTTACAAGGAGTCATGTTTGCATAGACCACAATACCTGCAATCATAATGCAAACAAAAAACATAACTCTGATAATGTATGCACTGTCCTTAAAGTTGATTGGTCCACACCTGAGACAGCTTTCCTTAGAGCCTAGTCTCACATGGTGTTGGACCAGATGTGAGACTAGGCTCTAAGGAAAGCTGTCTCAGGTGTGGACCAATCAACTTTAAGGACAGTGCATACATTATCAGAGTTATGTTTTTTGTTTGCATAATGACTGCAGGTATTGTGGACTATGCAAACATGACTCCTTGTAAAAAAGGTGTCAGTTTTGTTGCCAGATAAAAGGGTAAAAAAAAACAATTATCAAGCTCTTCGCTGTTTCAACTGTCCTGCCAGGAGGTCGAATCAGTGACCTACACGTTGCAAGCTATGAGCTCAACATTAACAGCATCCAGCATATGAAATGTATGTTGTCGTGAATAACTTTAAACATGTTAAGCCACCCACGGAATATTTTTATTATTATTTTAGAGTCCCATTCTCATCTTTGTACTTTGCGTGATACATGAAACATTTCAACAAACATCGGGTAACTTTTAATTTCCTTTCATCGACATCAGATGGGCTGCCTTGAAAACTCGTACTGTTCGGCAGTGTTTGCTTCAAAGCTTTGATTTTTAACTCGTATCAAAGCCAAGTCAAACTATGGAGGCATCTAAAACATGGTTTCTTTTTTTTTATGGCAAGGGCAGCTTACTTTTTCTGGTTTCATCTGGCCTCAAAGTTTCTCAGTCATATAAATATAGATGATTTTCACGAAATTTTAAAATTATTTTTTATTGGTTCCATGGTCACGATTCCAAATAATCCAATGCAAACCCTTTATGTTATAAAATTGCCCACAGAAGCAGATATTACAAAACTATTTCTGAGATCACTTTAAAGGGCCTTCTGGTTCTCGGAGTAAGGTGGAGCAGTTTTTCCCCCTAATCGTCAAAACAATCTGTTTTCTTAATTATCATAGCTGGAATTTTTTAAAACTAATTATATGCGGAACCAAATTGCACCGATGTCTGAGTTGGAGAACTTGGTGAAACTCAATATACTTGGGAACCCCGTTAATAATGCAGGATTCCAGCGGTGAGCTCAGGGCTCTTGACCTTTGAGCTACCCGTTCACCTGCTGCCTGTTGACCTCAGATATATTAAGGACAGATCTTGCAAGCTGCACTCAGGCAGCAGAAACACTCAAAAATAATAATGAGACAACTCTGAGTTTGAGTCACGGTGCTTAACGGCTCACACCTCTCAACATCCCGACATTCTACGTGGGAGGTATGCGGCTAGCTCTCTAAAGAGCTGCTCCTGCATTTCACACCTCAATCGGCGACATTCACACCGAGACTACATGGAGAGCTGTGAGTGCACTGCCAATGGAGGCGCGAGTGAATGCACGCTAATTAATTATTTACCGATTTAAATCACGGCCAATTGTGGCCCATTTATTGCCTCGTGAAATGCAATGATTGAAGAAGGACGTCGCAAAAAAGTTGCGGGAGGGCGAGAAAAAAACGGCAGGTGAGTGATGGATAATTGTTCATTAATGAACCTTATGGCGGGACCCCAGGGTCCCATAAGCCCACGGCTCTCGCATGAACTGC